CTTTTAATAATTCCTACCTTCCCACTTCCAATAACAAAAGCATTAATTTTCTCATTTTCCTTTGCTTACATATTATCATTAAAACCCTTCTCCATTGATTTTAGGTATATAATACATATGTATATTCTAAGCTATTTAAAAATTCTCTTAAATGGATATAAAGAGTACTAAGAAAATAAAATTTATATCAGAACAGAGGAAGTAGAAACTCAGTTATCATACTTTCAAAATTTGTTGTGTATGCTATAGAGAGAATACACTGCTATATTTTTGTCCCATTAATAGGTACATTAAATCAGTTGTCTGATGCAGTGGCATGCTGTTTGAATATGTTTTCTATAGCGATTTTACAGACATTTACACATTTTAAAATACAGGTTTATTTGGTATGTAAACTTTAAAGAGAGCAACTGATATTTTTCTTTCCTTAGACAGTGAATGATATGGGATTAGAAAATTTATTGTGCACAATTCAGTATGACCTGTCTTGTACTAATGGCATCATCTCAGCATGGAAGAGATATTTTCCAATAGAAATCTGATACCTGATGATTCAAGAATAATTACTGTAAAAAAGAATTAGAGGCCCCAAACATTCCTGTTTGTCATATGCTTCCTTCTCATAGGTTTAGTATTATTTATGTGGTTTTGCTTTTTTTTTTCTTCCAGTTTCTTTTATTTTTGGCAAGGAAACTTGAACTCAGGGCTTGGGTGCTGTCCCTTAGCTTTTTCGCTCAAGGCTAGGCTGTAGCACTTGAGCTACAGCTTCACTTTCAGTTTTTTGCTAGTTCATTGGAGGTGAAAGTCTCACAGACTTTCCTGCCCAGGCTAGCTTTGAACTGTGTTTCTCAGATCTGAGCCTTCTGAGTAGCTAGGATTACAGTTGTGAGCCACTGCACTTGGCCAGATGTGGTTTCCTTAAAAAGTAAATATTGATCTCCCTTAATCTGGCTATGTTTATCAGTGGGTTTCTAATTTTATCATAATTACTTTGACTAAATTATTTTGAATATTGCTTTTTATCTTTTATTGGTAATTTTATCCTGAAGTTTATGAATGGGATGGCAAAGTTACAAATGAAGAGAATTAGACAGAATGGATACAAAGATTGCTTTGATTTGGGAATGTATTTCATTACTTTTTTTGGAAAGTATTATGTGACTTTTTTATTTTGGAGAGGGACCTCAAATAAGTCCTATTCTTTCATCATTTCCTTCATTGAATTTTCCTTAGGCAACACATTAAATTTGTGTTCATTCTTTGAGCTAACTAGAGAGAACCAGAGCAAACTAAACTTTTGTCAATGCTGGGTCTATAGCTATGGGAATCAAGCTTTACTAAAGCATTTAGACATCCAGAGCCTCCTGGTTACAGAGGCTTCACTCTAGTCAGACAGCGTGATTTATGCCCAGTTTTTTTGGCATATCAGTTATATAATGTTTTAGCATACTGATTCTGTTAAAGCTATCAAAATAGACTACTTGAAAAAAATTAACAGCTGTTTACTTATTCTTAGAAAACTGTGCTAAAAACTTAGAGACCCACAGGAAAATACACATTCAGGTACATATACACTGTCATGTGTGAGCTAAGTAAGGGAGCAATCTAAGTGATTAGGTAAAGCAGGTACTACATAGAGATCATGGCCTCCTTTAGAAAATACCTTTACTGGGCTTGATCACATGGTCTCTTGCATGCATACCAGGCAAGCACTCTATCTCCTGAGCCACATCTCCAGGCCTTTTGCTTGTATTTTGTTTCTGCATAGGATATTTCTGACTTTTCTTGAGCTGCCCTCAAACTTGTAATTCTCCTTCCTTTGCCTCCTAAATAACTGGGATTACAAACATACACCACCAGGCCCAGTTCAGGGACCATTTTCTTATTCTGGTGACGATATCCATCTTTTGGGAGACTACAACATCTTCTATACCACTTAAAATAGATCTTTCCCAATGTTAAAAAAATAAAGTGGTTAAGATCATTGGTTTGGAGCCACACTGCCTAGGTTTGAAGCTCAGCATAATGTTTACTACTATCTGACAAATGGGGAGAATAATGGAATCCACCTCATAGGGTTGATATCAAGATTAAATGAGATAAAACATGTAAAGTCCTAGAATAGATAGGGCCCAGCACATGGAAAATAGTGAATGTTAGCTGTTGTTATTCTTTTCTGTAACAAAAGATTTGTTCTATGTCTTATGTAGTAACATCAATTTCTTCATAGTGATTCAACATTTCAAGAAGGTGAAAGTCATGCTACTTTGAATAAATTGTGGTACACTCATACAAAGGATTACTGTACATCCATTAAAGTAACAAAAGAGCCCTGTCTAGAGGCACACCCTGTAATTCCAACATTTAAGATGCTCAGATAGGAGGGTTCTGAGTTTGAGGCCAGACTGAGGAAAAAGAAATAGAGACAGACCTACTTAAACTTAAAGATCTACTTAAAATCTACTTAAACTATTAATGATATTTTTAGATATGTAGTAATATAGTACCATATATATGTATACCACATTTCATTGTTTAAAAATTATATATATATATATATAAATTACTAGAAAAAGGTATATATCTAGTATGGATGGGTGGAGAGGAGACTTGAACGTCTAACTATATGAGATTTTTACACTGTAGGATTATAGGGTCCTTCAGGCAGGTTTTATGCATTTAATATTTATTTAAATTTATTTATTTACTTCTTCACCAGCATTGGGGCTTGTTCCAGGGCCTTGTGCTTTTACTCATGGCTGGTCACTCTACCACTTGAGCCAAACCTTTAGTTCTAGTTCTAGTTCTTTGCTGATTAATTGGAGATTAGTCTCATGGGCTTTCCTACTCTGGCCCCTTTGAACCATTATCTTCAGATCTCAGCCTCCTGAATAGCTAGGATTACAGGTGTAATCACCAGTGTCTGGACAAAATAATTTCTTTCCCTCTTTCTTTCTTTCTTTCTTTCTTTCTTTCTTTCTTTCTTTCTTTCTTTCTTTCTTTCTTTCTTTCTTTCTTTCTTTCTTTCTTTCTTTCTTTCTTTCTCTCTCTCTCTCTCTCTCTCTCTCTCTCTCTCTCTCTTTCTTTTTTGGTACCAATGCTGGGGATTGAACTCAGGAACTCAGAGCCTTGTGCTAAAGGCTGGGGCTCTACCACTTGAGCCCTTCCACCATTTCTTCATTTCCAAACATTTCCCCCCCTTCCTCCCTTCCTTCCTCCCTCCCTCCCTCCCTCCCTCCCTCCCTCCCTCCCTCCCTTCCTTCCTTCCTTCCCTCTCTCCCTTCCTTCCTTCCTTCCCTCTCTCCCTTCCTTCCTTCTTTCTTTGTGTGTGTCAGTGCTAGAGCTTAAACTCAAGGTCTCTTGCTTTGTTTTTTTTTGTGTTTAAGGACATTGTATATTTTTAAAGCATTAAATTGCTTTGGTTTTGTATTGCAATGAAAGTTGAGAGAGAGAGAGAGAGAGAGAGAGAGAGAGAGAGAGAGAGAGAGAGAGAGAGAGAGAGAGAGAGAATATTGTGTGTGTTTGGTGATGTGGGAGACCTTGCACTTAGGCAAGTGCTGTCACTTGAAAATGCCCCATCCCTGCCCCCCCCTTTTTTGCCTTAGTTATGTTTTAGATAGAGTCTTGCATTTTTGCAGGGAATTGACTTTGGACTGCTATCTTCTTACCTATGCTTTCCATGTAGCTGGCATAACAGGTGTGATCACTATGAATGTCTTGTTAGTTGAAATAAGGACTTACTAACTTTTTGCCTGGGATAGGTTCAAACCTCTATCTTTTGTAATTCTACTTCATGAATAGCTGGAATTACAGGTGTGTGTGACCACACTTGACTGGACACTAGTGTGTGTGAGAGTGTGTGTGTGTGTGTCTGTGTATGTTTGTCTATATTTTTAAACCAGATTTCTTTTTTTTTTTTTTTGGGTCCAGTTACTGGGCGCTGTCCCTCAGCTCTTCAGCTCAAGGCTAGCACTGTACCACTTAAGCTACAACACCACTTCTGGCTTTTTTCTTTTTGCTTATGTGGTGCTGAGGAATCAAACCCAGGGCCTCATGCATGCAAGGCAAGCGCTCTACCACTGAGCCACCTTCCCAGCCCTTAAACCAGATTTCTAACCATTAGGTAACACTTGTATTTATCTAGTGACTCAAGAGACAAGTTGTTAAAATCTTCAATTATTTCTTTGTAGGGTAGATTAAAAAAATAATGTAAGTTATTTATCCATAGGAGTACACAAATAAGTATGTCAACAAAGCTTTAAGGCATCTTAAACTTTTGTAAGTTACTCTGGAAATAATGAAATTCTCAAATGGCAAAATGAAGAAAAATAAATAAAGAATAATGTAGGAGCAATCGATATGCATAAATATATTCCTTCAGCAGTGTTTTCACATTTGAATACTTACAAAATAACTAAGAATGTAATTTCTAACATTTACGAGCTCACTGTGTGCCAAGCAGTGCTGCCTGAGCTCACACTCTTACATTACTAATACGTTTTATGTGATGTAAATTTCCAGGGTGTATACAGTAGTACACATCTTTTCATCTATTTGAAATTGAATATCCATCCTTTGATCTGTCAGTCTGCCACAAGGAAATAATCTTGACCTCTTCTGGTAACACTTTTACAAGTAGATTATTTTTTCTCATTTCAGATATTCTTAATTCCCTTGCAAAGATCTATTTGCTGCATTAAAATACAGCATCCCGATCTGTGTATCTTTGTGATTAGTTGGTATAAGGCCAGCATTTAAAATTCTCTGAGCTCTCTTACCATGCATATCACAGGATGAAGAGCTCTCCTGGAGGGGAACTTATATGTGGTTTTCGGTTTTGTGCATTTTGTGACAAAGGAATTCCCCTTTGAATCTGGCTACTCTCCTGCAGCCTTAGGAGCCTGTGGCTCAAGCAGCGCAGTCAGTCTGTGCAGTGTCCCTGACGTCATCCAGCGTATGCATAAGCCCGGCTATTGTCTTACTGCTACAGCAGGGCTGAGGATTGCAGTATCCGCTGTTGCTGCTGCCTTCAGTCCTGCCCCTGCTGCTACCTGGTCCTGTCTTACTGCATCCTAGGAAAGCCACGTTGGCCTTCCTTGGCCCAGTGGATTTTCAAAAGCAGCCCTTCGGTTTAGGGGGGGCTGTAGGAGATCTTGCCTTTCACTCACACGGGAGAAAACTGGAGCTCGTAAGAGGAGAATCTGGCAGCTGGACACAGCTCGGACTGCATTGTCTGGCTTCATGACCCCTGCTGTGTAGCCAGCTCATCTCTTCACTCTCACACGCACACACTTTCCTTGCTCTCCCCCACCCCCACCCCTCCTTTTTTTCCTTCTAATTTTTTAAAAAGCAGCTTCTGGAGCCAGCCATGTTTGGCACTGAATCTTCATGTAAGTAAATGGATCCCACTTCTCTGCTATTTAGAAATCTGCTCACTGTCATGATTTCATTGACTTGGAGTTCATATCACTTTGCCTTAGGTCTTTAACAATGTTTGTGCTTTGGCTTTAATTTTAGAGGAATTGGTCTCATGAAAGGACTTCACCCAACTCTGTTTTTCATTCTTAAGGGAGGGATGTCAGTGTGGTCCTCTCAGGCCTCCATGAGGGAGATAAGAAGACAGGATCCAGGCACCCTCCCTAGAACATGATGATAATTGATACGATCATGACTGTCACTTCTCCATTGTTGGGGGTTCATAATGGTGCTTAGGCCTTAAAATAGATGCTGGGAGTATCTGAGATGTGATAGTGTTTATATGAAAGAAAAGAAAGGTTTCGTTTTTCATCTAAGGAGAATATCATTACATACCATTCTCTGTATTTTCACAAAAACAGAATGTTATGTGTAGATATAAAAAGAATGTGAAATATATTTATTTTTTAAGATGGATTGTTTTTCACAATGGGTTCAATTTCAGCATCTTGACTAGCATCACTGTTAAGCATCATTGTGTATGTCTTAAAACTTATACAATGAAATTGCTTTGGTGCAGAGCAGGCCCTGTACAATGGACTGAGCAGTTGTAGATACCTTAAGCTTATACCTAGAAAAATGATAACCAACCTAATTGAGAATTATTTAATATTAGGTATAGAATAAGGTAATTTGCTAATGCAATTGTATAAGCTTTTCAGACTATTTTGTCATCATCTCTAAGTAAGGATGGCAGATAAGAATTTCTGGAGGGACTTGACCTGCTGGCCTTAGAGCATGAGAGTGCAGCATCATACTATCTTTACAGTGGACAAGGGACTTAGAGCAGGGAATTTAGGAAATGTATTTCATATGAATTTGTAATTTTACCTTTACTCTGTGATCTCAGGTGTCACTGTGATGTTTGCATAGCTGATGATTATTGTAGCATGGTAGCATGTCAAGAGAGCTATTAATCCTTGTTTCTTTTGTTTCTTAGTTGGCTTTTTAAAAGCTATTTCTATTGTTTCATGGTGGACTCTTTCCATCTTTGTAATGGTTGCATTTTTCCAATGAAGCTCAAGATAGAGTAATAATGAGTGTAATGTCTCACTCAGCATGTAACTATTGTTTATTGATAACTTAAAAATAATAATTATTGATTTTACTTAGTAGTCCATTTGGAATTATTGTCACCCATGAGATAGAATAGATAATTAACTTGAATAGAGCTTCTTCTAGTTTCTCCTGTTACAGAATTTTATGTAGGACCCAAGGTATAGACCAAATATTTATATTGTATACTAAAGAAAAATTGGTCCCATTATTTTGTTTAGCTGAAGATGAGAATTAAAATTCAATGTGGGGAATCTGGATTCTTGAACTAAGGATTTTTCTACTGCCTGGCCTGTTTTTATCAAGCAGAAACACAGTCTTTCTTGATCATTAAACCCTATCTTTTGATAATATCACTACATGGCATGTTTGAAAACTGCTGGTTGTTGCTAGTCTCCATGGCTACCAGATAACTGAACAGAACAAAATGCCATTCAGAAGACAGAACACTGTCTGCAGGTTTTTGGTATTTTTTTTTTTTTTTTGCTTTTAATGAGTATTTTTATTTCTTGCTTGTCACTGGAAGTTCATGGGTAGATTCATATTATAGGGGTGAGAGGGTGGGAATGGACTGCTTTCTTTAGCTAAGGACATAGATAGCCCGTTTCCTTTCAGACTTAAGTAGGTTTTATGTTCGAAAGATTTGATTTTAAAATTTAGAGGCTATTTTATGGATGTAAGACTATATTTAGAATTTGTAGAAAAAGTTACACTTGAAATTTTAATGTATTTAGTATTTAGTAGAAGTCTTTCTAACCACTTATGGTGTTCTTGCTGAACTCACTTAAAAAATAATGTCTTAATTATTTACCTGTGTGTAATGCCGTTTAGGTCCTACATAAGGTTATTTATTTCCAAAGATTTGATGTTTCTTATCCTTGATTTTTGATTGTAACACTTGTGTTGTTTTTACTTTTTAAAATTGATTTACCTACACTAAAATGATTTATGTATCGTAAAATGTATGTCTATGTGTACAGCTCTGCTATTTTGTCTTTGTTTGCACCTGCGGAACCACTCACCAGATCAAAATGCAAAACATTTCTACTTCCTCAAAAAGTTTTCTTGTGGCCCTTCTCACTCAATATTGTTTCCCTCTCTTTGCCAAAAACTAACCACCATTCTGACTTTTTACCTCATAGATTAATGTTGTTAATGGCTTTTTAAAACTTTATTTCTGATGTATCCTCTGCCTACATGAGGAAGAATATCTTCATTTTTAAGTATTGAACTAAGTTGACTTTATTTTCCAGACTTTTATGGCCAGAATTTTATAGTAGCCTGAGTATCACATTACAATATTTTCTGTCTTACCCAAATGACACTGAATAAAATCCTGTCAAAACAACAAAAACTATGATTTAAAGTAAAGTCTTTGACAAAAGATTTACCTGAAAGAATACATTTTATCAGAGTATAAGAATTACATAATGGTGGTAAAAGAACATATCTAACATTATTTAGGCACTCTTCCCAATAGTACATGTTTCATCTAGCTGGACCTGGATCTACATAGTTGTATATCTTGGCCATAATCCTCTGGGCCCCCTTTGAGGTAGAAGTTTTCCTTAGTGTTTGTAGACTAATTGTTACAAAGTGGGAAGTGCACTGACTCTCCAGTGTTCTGTAAATTTGTTATCATCTTTGTGTGTAGCTTTTTTCTTTATTGAAATTTCCCATGTCTGAAAATGGACATATATACTCTTTATTTGCCTTGAGGAAATGCTATTTTATTTCCTGGGTTCAGAAGATGTTTAGGTTAAGAAGAAATTTCTACCAGGAAAATTTTTGAGGAAAATAATTATCAAATGCATATTTGAAGTACTTAATTTGCTTTAGTGATTGTTTATGTTTTAAAATCAATTATATTCTGCCAAATTAAAAATAATTTCCTTCTTATTTTTTTTTTTGGGTCGGTCATGGGGCCTGAACTCTGGGCCTTGAAGCTGTCCCTCAGCTCTTCAGCTCAAGGCTAGCATTCTACCACTTTAGCCACAGCACCATTTCTGGCTTTTTTTCTTTTTGCTTATGTGGTGCTGAGGAATTGAACCCAGGGCCTCATTCATGCAAGGCAAGCGCTCTACCACTGAGCCACCTTCCCAGCCTCCCTTCTTAAAAGTTTTAAGAGGAAAACTTGTTTGTTTATCTATTTATGCAGTAAACTGATGAAGGGAGAAAAAAAGTGTTCATCTTTTTATGGGGTAAGAAAAACTGGTTTGCATTACTGACTTTTGGTTATATCCTTCCTTATAGTGCTGGTTACTTTCTTAAAAAGTAACCAGAATGAGTATGAGGAGCATCTGTTCAATTAGCAGTGAATAGACTCAGGCCTCTTTTTCTATGTTTAACATTTTCATTTCTCAAGGGTGCCATTGAAGGTTGGTGGGAATTCTATCCTTGTCTAATACATTAATTTATCCCCCAAAGCACCTGCTTTATTAGAGCTGAACCTTACCTGCTGAGACAGGTAACCTTTTGAAACAGGGAGACCCTGGGGGAAAACAGTACAATTTAATTTCATTTCTGAACATTTTTTTTTCATGTAATAAAGAGAATATCTAGAGCACTTTGAAGGTGTGTGTGGGGGGGGGGGGGATGGGAAAAGATCACCAAAATACCAGCAAAGTGGAACTACTTGGTAAGACTTACCTATTTGGGCCTAGGGGAGTTGGGGATCTCATCTCTAACTTTAGTATACTCATGTCACATTGATTAGGTAGATAGAATCTGGGAAGAACTTGAGGTACATGCTCAGGGTGATTTATCTGTGTTAGGCTCCAGAAGTTCAGCTGTTTATTTCATTTTATTCTCATTAATGATAAGTGCATTTAGTTGGAACTGACGGCGTCTCAATTTTAATGGATGGCATGTTATCCTTTTACCAAGAACAGCATAATTATTTCAAATTTCAGTCCAATTTTTAGAGAGATATTCAGTGAATATATGCTAGCAATATTAGGTTTTCAAATATAGTAAATAAATAGGTATTTCTTTGATAAAGTAATAGTTACACTTGTATGTATGTAAATAATTAAATTTCACTTAGTGATCTTCTCCTTCCTCTTTCTCCTCCTCCTCCTTCTCTTCTTCTTCCTTCTCCACTTCCTCTTCATTTCACCACCTTCTTGAGTTATTAAGTAGTTGTACAAAGAGGTTACAGTTCTGTAAGTCAGGTTGTGAATACAGTGGTTCTGGGTCAATGTCACCCCTTCCTTCATATTCCCCTATTCCCCACCCCCTGTGCCTACCTTCAATCTACATAATTAAAATTTTACATAATGTACATTGAATTTAACAACTATATTTGAAGGAGCCACACTTTTAGGTGCATTCCAGGGTCTTCTTTGAGCATTGGTGTTATATTGGGATTAAATTTGGATGTTTTGATGTAATGTCTGTGAATCACTTTTGAGGTGTGCATAATGATTGTGGTTATTCAAAAGTGATTGTCACAATGGGACCATGTTTCAAATAAGCTCCTAGTTATTATTATTAAATAATTGTGTTAGAGACTGCTTTTTAAGCTGTTAGTATGTTTGGTAGTATGGGTCTAGGTAATTTAGAAAAACTAGTCATTTTCTTAAAACTATTTCTTACAACTTCTTTCTTATAGTTGGCTGCTAATATTAAGCTATCTTGGATGTTAGATGTTTTCTTCTGACTTAAAACTAGAAGTATTTATGTGCATTATAGAAACTTACCGCAAAGTCTGTACTTAAGCATTCTATATAAAAGAAAAATCTTATTATCATCATATGACTTTAGATAACTAGAGTACCACAGACTGCTAAAGTCACTAGTATGAAGAAATTATTATATGTTACAGGCATTTATGTTGGGAAAGTGAAGTCTGTGTACT